CATACTTGTCAGTGCCACGGTTGGAGGTATGTATAAATGTGGCTGTGTTACAGGATTGCGTGTGAGGTCGGTTAGGACGCCTTCTCCGAGGCAACATAGTAGTACAAGCCAGATTACAATCGATAATATCCATTTAACGTTATGACCGGGGTATAGGACGATAGTTGGTGAGGTGAGATACCGTAGAACCGTACAACACCCTAATATACAGAGTGTTGTGGACATTACGACGATCAACAATCCATGTATACATACGCACACGAGTTCTGCGAGGCATTGATCTGCCAGTCCCCGCCGATGGTTATCGGTAATTGTTTCATATGTGTAGTTATCAGCACAGAACCAGGACACGGCGAATGTTGTCATACTGACTACTTGGAAGCAAGATTAACTATACATGTCTGTAGAGGTTGGCAGTACCCAAGACGGCGACATCAGCATGACCTCTCTGGCATTGACCTGTATTAATATGTTAATTGCGGTTGGCGGGTGGGCGTTGATTCGTCGAATGACAGAGAAATAATAAGCATCTTTTTCGCACAGTACTGTGATAATAAAATGTGTTTCCTTGTATTAATTCCCATCCCCAACTGCGGTGGTTTTGATATGGCAGAAACACTATCTGAACTTTCCTGCACCCGGCCGCACATTGGAGTATGTTCGAAGGGTGTTCTGGCAATGATGGCCTGGTGATGGACACTCTCATTGTTCAACAGAACCTCACAGATTCAGTCAGTATCCGCCCGAGGTCGTTCTCTCGTGAAAAAAATAGTGCTAATTCTTCTTTCAAATCCTGTATTAGCTAAAATATGGTTTGCTGACTTTACTGACTGAGATAAGGAGGTCATTTATGAGGGAATGCAAATGGTCTACCTGCTTGTATCATATGTTGTTGTTTTTTCTGTTCACGGCACACATTCCGTGTCTTTACTCGGTCGAGATTAGGATACAAAATAGCCGTACTACATTACTGAAACCGTCACCCTGTTTTGCAGGAAGAACTACTTATTACGTGTAATAAACATCTGGAAAGAATGCTTTGCTAGGAAACTTATTACTTATCAGTCCGATTTATAAATTACCATATCATGCTATGGTGATACATAATGGCCACTCGTCGGCCATAAAAATCATATCAGCCGATAAAATTTGTGTGAGGCTAGGATGACCGCTGTCATCGATGTTATTCATCAAATCGAAATATTACCAAATACAAAATGAAAATAACTATAAATAAATTGCAAATGTGAGTACGTAGGAATTGGACTAAGTTATGAATAGTTTGGCAATATAAACTGACGAGAACCGTGTTTGTTTAATTTTAGACGGCATTGTGGGCGAGGAAAAAAACATTTGAGCTAACAATAGAAATTGGAGTACCAATACAGGATAATGTAGACTCGAGTTAAAAATGCACAATTATTCTAATTTAAAGGGTATTTACTGTAGTCAATTTGGTAAAAGGCAGTGATTGACGCACCGCTTTTTGATCGACGTCCTGAGCGACGTACACAACGCGTGTAAAACACATGCATTATATTTTTGTACATAAAATTCAAACACGTTCTGTGTGGCGACCACCGCCATTTAATGATGTGGCCGACAAACGCCATCATTGGAGCAAGAAATACGATTTCTAAAGTTATACTCGTAAAAAAGAAGTGTGAAATAGAAATAGGGTATACATTAAAAGTGAACACGTAAAATGCAGTGCGATTTAGGGACTGGTCATTTTCTCCGGGTTGGGGTGCCGGGGAAAAAACGAGGGGGGAGGGGTTCCAAGCTGTTGTGAAACTGAATAGAGAGGCATGACGCTTTCCCATTGCCTGGGAGGGGGCCAATCAATTTTGTTATGTGCAAAAAAATACATAGTTTAAATAGACACAATATTTAAATTAGTGATTTTTGTACATTTTTTATTGCACACAAATATTCAGTGGTGAGAAAGCTAGCTACTGGAGTTAGTAAAATCTCGGTATAAGATCAAATCTCTAGACTAACCCCAAATACCGATGTTTTCTTATGCGTGAAAAATCACAAAAAAATAAAACACACTGTATCTCTGATTCACTCGAAATGTATTACCCTCTTTAAACCATTGCTACAATTGTTTTTTTTTAGTGAATGCATGCTTTATATATTCTTATAAGAGAATTTTGATATTATATAAATTTTTTGATATTATATTTTGATATCATAATATAAATTTAATTTTTTTAAAGAAAAAACCTTTACTACATCCTTAATACGGCTATGTCCCGAGTTCACGAAAAAATATACATTTGAATAAAGGTCAACGAAAGCAAGGTCACATCAAATTGCAAACAGCGACACCATCGTCGAAAAGAGGGTCAATCTAAGACATCTTAGGGCATCTCCATGATTTACTATGTACAGCTAATCTTGCTTCCAAGCCGTCAGTATGACTACATTCGCCGTGTCCTGGTTCTGTGCTGATAACTACACATATGAAACAATTACCGATAACCATCGGCGAGGACTGGCAGATCAATGCCTAGCAGAACTCGTGTGCGTATGTATACATGGATTGTTGATCGTCGTAATGTCCACAACACTCTGTATATTAGGGTGTTGTACGGTTCTACGGTATCTCACCTCACCAACTATCGTCCTATACCCCGGTCATAACGTTAAATGGATATTATCGATTGTAATCTGGCTTGTACTACTATGTAGCCTCGGAGAAGGCGTCTTAACTGACCTCACACGCAATCCGGTAACACAGCCACATTTATACATACCCCCAACCGTGGCACTGACAAGTATGATAATAACCCTGACTTATTACCATCATATGGAATATTGGGATGTTCCACGAATGTCATGGTTACTGGTGATCTACTGGGCATTCTCCTTAGTCGGGGAAGCGATGAAACTTTCTAATCTATACAGCCAATTTGGATTAGACATCACAATACTACGATTATTCAACACATTATTGTTAGCTCTCTTGTATGCGAGTTGTCTGCTGATTGAATTTAACGTGATCAGAACAATGGTAAGTGACACTGTGAATCACGTGATACAATATGACCTCTCGACGCATGGAAATCAAGAATATCACGTTAAACTGCGTTATTGTAAACAAAAGACACAATTTTGTGGTACACCTTCTTTTTAAAGTAAAGTGACGCCAATTGCAAACCTCGAATAACTAAAGGTTCATAGTTCATAATCTACTGGACTAAGTGATTGCATCATGCTGTCCGTGTGACCGATGCAAGTTCATGACCATGCCGAGTGATATGAAGGACTCATTGTAATCAGTAACCAATAAAAAAAATTTCTACGATAAATATCTTGACCATGCTAGTGGTTAATCCTACAAGCCTCAGTTTCGAAAAACCATATATTCTTACCAATTTGCAAACTCGCTAGTGAATTGGCTAACTGCTTTGGTTTTTACTAAGCTGTTGGCTTTTGAATCTCGCTGGCACCGACTTGTGTTCGCGTCCACTCTGGGCGAGTCTATATTGCATTAGGGGACATAGAATGCTTTTACGTAGGAGCATGTCTAGATTCCCCTGAATGATTTGCTTTGTTACGAGGCGTGATTTTCATCCGTAAATTAGAAATGATTAGTAGAATTATTTAACCAATCTACAACGAAATGATCACAAACGTAATTTCACAAAATTATATTTTTACTTATTTGTGTTTATTTTATATGACTCACAACTTTGGAGCAGATCAGATATTGCTCTCATATCCAAATCAGCGGAGGTATATACTTCGATAGAGGTTGATGTAATGATGACGTCATATGCCTCTATGAAAACACTTTTTTTTGTTTCAACACCTTAAGAGTATGTATCTTATATAATTTCTCTGAGTGGGAAAAAACGTGGTGTCCGAAAGGAAAAAAAATATAATTTTGCAAATGACCTTGTCAAATGGAATGAACGTAATAGAAATGTCTCATTTTTTTTGCAGGTGTTTGGTTGGTATTATTCGCGACCTCGGTACCCTAGCGAACTTAACAATCCAGATATGCTGCTTTCGCATAAATATACCAATCTAGTTTCACGTTCCCTCTTTTACTCTTTAAAATGGTTGTTGAAACTCGGATATAGGAAACCCTTGGAAATGTCTGATCTTGGCTGCTTGCCTCAGGAATTTCACTGCAAATACCAGTACCACGTGTTTGAGAAAGCTTATGGGGCCGAAAAGGTAATATCAATAGGTATACATAGTCACGAATACAGACGATCACGTACTGAAAGGATGGTGTGTATGTATGTAATCGCCAATTCTGCTGAATCATCAATAGAAGATCGATTTTTTTATGTATATTGAAAACTGTTTTTTTTTATTTCTGTTAACAAATATATTTTGCGCGTAAATCATCTCCGACCGAGCCACACTACTTTTCTAAAATCATATTTTCATTCTACAGTGGTATAACATCTGTAGATGCAATTAGGCCCTAAAATAA